ACCTGGAATATGACTTTGGTGACTTCTTGGCAGCTCGATTTGCACCTCGTCCATATTTTCAGGAACTGTAAATAAATAAAATCAGTTTTATTTGCAACAATATGCATAAAATTGTACCAAATAGGTATTTATTTACTTACAACCAAGCTCTAGAACTATTCCAGCGCTACGAATTTCGAGGTCATCTTGCATCAATTCGTTTTCCCCGTCATTGTGACATATCTCGGATGCTGTAATATTTAATTGAAGTATTATTATCGTAACAACTTAATTATTTTTGTATTTCGTTGCCAGTAGAAATTTGTTTCAGGATGAAGGCTATCATCCATTACCGATGTGGGCATCGTTGAACGTATTACTACGACTAGGTGATTCGACCTCATTTTGCAGTAATTCGTCCACCTCGCCATTCCTGAGGTACGTTTCCGTTCCCGGTACTGCGTAATTTTATTAAGTATCTATTAATTCCATAATTAAGTTATTTTCAGCACCAAACTATTCTCACCTTCATCGTCCAACGACTCATTACACGTCGTCAACAAGGCCGTCGTCATTGTGGCAAATTTCTTTTGAAAACTTCGAAAAAGGTGGTCACACCTTTTTCATGATTTTGACCAGATGTTTGCAACCTTTCCATACTCGCCATTAATTCCTGCACCGCTTCCAAATCTTTCGACAGGCTGGTCATAATCTTCATCCCTCGGACTTCCTGATGTTCAGATAAGTCGCAAAATTTCTTCTCCATCTTGCCCTCCAAATTGCTTATCTGGGTCCTCAGCAAATTCAGCGAAGTTTCGAAAAGTGTCATCCTGTCGTGGAAAGCGGTTTGGAATCGTTTAGTAAATTCTGCTTCGAACAAGGCCGACAATTTTTCCTGAAGTACCTCCTCCGCCGTTTGTTTGAATCCGAGGATGACGTGGTCCATCTTTAATGTTGGATTTTGTTTTACTACCAATTAAGTAAATGTTGAATTAATTATTAATTACCTTTGACCTAACGGATAATCCAGCCAAGGTTGGAAAATAAATATTTACAACTTTTATGTGCAGATTTTTTGGCAGGTGTTTTTGTAAATTTTAGAGTTCGCGGAGCATGATTTAAGTAACGGGTGGAAATTGAGAGCTGATATTTTAATGATCCACAAAATTAACATACGGTAAATTAATATTTAAATTAATACTACTATTGGTATAATCTACTGTCAGCATGTTTCTCTGTATGTGGTCTGGATATCTGAGCCTTATCCGTTTGCCGGGTAGAATGATTTCGACGAGTATCTCCTATTTCCAGTCCTTGTTTTAAATTGTCACATTATTTCCCTCTTAATATTTCTACCTGGTGCGTATCAGTACAACCTGGCGAAAAAGTTCAGACTACAGGTACAAGTTATGCGGTAAAACCGCGGAAAAGGATCTACTTTTTCCAACACCTAACGTACTAATTCACAATCTATGAGCATTTTAAAAATCGCAAGATGTTCGTAGTCCAAGGTTGATATCGAAAAATGTGTTAATCTAAATTGAAGCTTGTCCTCTCTGATCCTATTCAAATGTAGTTGGGAAAATTCGACAATATTAACTTTAAGCTAGTGGAGAAAATTGGTACAACTTTTTGAAAATTTCAATTTAGCGACTCAAAGAAGCTTTATTTCGAAAAGCAGGTCCTAATGAGGGCACACCCCCTGCATCCCATGAATACGATTCAGATGAGATCCTGTCAAAAAAATCAAATTCGTGGTATGTTGTCTCAGTGAGAATGAAATGATACAAAATCCAACATTTTGAATTTTCATTCTCTTGAGAAGCATTCTTTCAAAAACTGTATCAAGAAAATAATGTATACAATATTTGGCTATAGTCATGTGATCTGCGGATATGATAAGTTAATATTTGTAATGGTTCCCGCCAACTGGGGGTATACTGAAGTAATCAGAATGTGTTTAATTTACAGGAATCTAAATTTTCAGAAAACCAGCGATAACTTTTCAGGGAAGGCGAATTTCGAAAATACGATTATTATGACCGCACTGCACCTGACCCTCAGGAATACGATCCCAATGATAGCTATTCAAAAAAATGATTTTTTGAAGTACTTTCTCCAGTGGAAAAAAATTGACCCGAAATATGACATTTTGAATTTTCCCGCCTTGGGGATGCTTTATTTCAAAAAAAGTTTCAAACGTTTGTTGTAGCCCAACTACCTCTGCATTTAACACCGTGAACGGTTTTTGTCTACCTGTCACTCAGATCATTTGAAAAAATATTTTCTGTTGAGATCACCGCACAGAAATTATTGCATGTAAACGTGGATATTTCAAAAAGTTTTCGAAATTTTGAAAAACGGCATGCGTGCTCTATCCCTAGATTTTAGAGACGGTCATAATGCCATTAACTGCATTGCTCTATCTCTTAAGGCGGCCCCACACGACCCCCCCAAATTAACATTGGGGTTGGTGATTCCTTACCACCTGTTCCCATATACTTCCATGAAATGGGGGAAAAAGTAGAAAAAGGGTTAATGATACGCGAGTCGGAAAAAGTGGGACGACGCCTGGCAACAAGTCTGCCATTATTTGGGTTGCAGTTAACGGAAGATAATTTCGTTCACGGTTCGCATCTCCTATCCTATTATTTGTCACTTTCGACGTATGTTCTGTCAGGTCTGGTGGCGTTTCAGTTTCAATAAAGCAGTAATAGATGAAGTTTGACTTTGAAAATGAGTACTTTGATAATACTTTCTGTTGATAAATATGTACACGTCAAGTGGATAGATACAAATGGATAGATACATAATATAAAAAAATTATAATTTTTGAACTCCTGTTAAATTCCAATATTGTTAGACAATGCCTTAGTAGATCAGTGGTCAGAGCACCTGACATGAATCCAGGGGTGCCGTGGCTCAATTCCCGGCTGGGTTACAATTTTTGGCAATATTTGGAATTTATGATTTGTCCATTCATAAATGATTATTAATTTAATATTATTATCACAATATCAAAAAACTTGTCATTGTAAGCCTGATCCAATTATGTAACAATTTGATCTCGTCTCTTCTAAAGAAGAAATCAGTTTGGATTTCGAAAGTTTGAGAAATAAAAAAGTTTGTATTAAAAAAATGGCATTCGATAAGTCTATTCAAAATAACACCAATAATTACTGTCTTCCTTCTGAGGCGAGAGACGCTCTCCGTAAGAGAAGGTCACTTCTTACATATGCTCCTGCTATGTAATCCTAACTGGATATATGTAAATAAAGCTACATATGTATATCCATCTAATGTATGTAAGTTGACAACAGCTCAAAAACTCATGCAAATTTTTAAGATGGGTTATTATCAGAGCTGGGAAATTATTGAGTTTCGAGATTTACGATTAAAAATTAGGATTGAAAATTTCTGCCCATGAGATTAAGATTAGGATTAAGATTAATCTGATTTTAAAGATTAAATTAAATCAAGATTAATTATTTCCCTAGGATGACATTAGATTAAAGATTAAGATCAATTAATCAAGATTAATTTAAAAATTTAGATTAATTAATGATTTTGTTTATAAATTGTAGTGCTCATACACATGTGCATATTTATGTATAACAAAAACATTAATCAAATTACTCAGTATTTCATTTTCAAGCCAAATATTATCATGTATCGACTGATTTAAATCCAAATTTTGCATATTTTAAGTTTGTGCAAAATACGTAGGCGATTAAAGTTTACCAAGAGAGGAGTTAGAGTCAGGCAGACGGATTCCCAAGCTATAACTCGAATTAAAGAAATATTTTTTTTATCATAAAACTACTGAGAAGCGAGAATGTTGAGAAATTCCCAGATTTGCAAGGAATAAGGGCAGATGGAGCTAATTTAATCATAATTTTAATCGAGATTAAATTCCTGGACAAGATTGGGAAGATTAAGATTACAGATTAAAATTAAATCTCTTCAACATATGAAATTAAGATTAAAATTTTAGATTAATTAATCTTAATCTCAATCATAATCTTAATCTTATGGGTTTTAATCAAGATTTTCCCAGCTCTGGTTATTATAAATAAGTAAATAACCGTTCAAACGTTAGGAAAATACAGATGGCTCCAACAATCTATTTATTCATGACATACTAAAACATATTTGAGCTACTGCTCAAAATCTCAATCTCCAATTTGACCTATGTCGTAAGAACAAGAAATTTCCTGTGTTCCTTATGCCATCAAATTATTTTTCCTGTGTCATTCCTCGTGATCGGTGAGGCCCCTTTTCCAGTGGAATTTTCGCCCACAAATCGAGGAAGTGGTAATAACTAATTACTGAATCTTTACTTAGCTGTAGTACATGTGCTTTATAACACAACTATAATTATAATGATAATTACATCGAGTCATAACCAGTATTTAAGAACAAAGTAAATTTTAATTACACCTGCCTACAACCTATAACAGATTTTATTTCTTCTTGTGCAATTTCTCGTGATGATTTAGGTTATGTTTCAATTGGAATTTTTTTCCACAAATTGAACATTCGTGTCCTTGAGGGTCATCTGGGTGGCAGGTTCTCACGTGGGCGTCGAGTTCGTCATGATTTGTAAAATTACTGGGACACATGGAAAATAATCCTTGGAATGACAGAGTTCCAAATGGTGGTCGAGTTGCTCCTTCTTCTGGAATTTCCTAGTAATGTACCCCACAAACAAGTTGACTCAGTGTTTAAACTTTCTTTCTATGAAAATTCCCATCACACCCCGTAAAATCCTTTTGTGACGCAATTGTACACGGGAGCACAGCTGCCTCACATACAACATGCAAATATGCACATTTAGGCGTGCCAATGTGGAAAGTATTGGAGTGGGCGGTTACAAAAAAACGGGGCAAAAAAGTGTGTTCAAACACTGAGTCAACTTGTTTGGAGGGTACATTACACATCCGACAAGGGAAGATTGTCGCCTTATGGACTATAGAGACATGTCTGCATAATGTTGAACAAAAACTTCATTAAGTTAATAATTATTTTAAAACACGATTTATGTACATGTTGAAGGAGTAGAGCTGAACATACATAATTAATACACTATTAGTGGAAAACAGCTTGTTACAAATGGAACAACGATATTTCCAAGATTGTGAGGACGTCTTTTTGGTATTTTTACGGCCGACAGTTTTCCTCATGACGCAATTATCCTTTTTTGTTCGAGAAATAGGCGACGATTTACCGTCCAAATTAGTTTGTCGGGATAGGCAGGAGGATTTTGACTTAGAAGTGATGTTTTTCAGTGTGAATAGATTTGTGTCAAAATCCGGGTCGTTGTTGGCCGTGTCAGATTCAGAAAGTTCGTCATCCTCCATATCAACGGCTATATAATAGATGTATATATAGGTAAATAATATCCAGTCAAATAAATAAATGACTTTAAATAATTAATTCAATAAATAGTTACCCAATTGTGCCGTATTTTTCGTCCCGGTTTCCGCACGGTCACTCCTTTTGGGTCGGGCTGACCTTTCCCTAATTGTGGGGGAGACATTTGACGCCGGAGAGGTTTCAGAAAGGATGGTGGGGAAGAGGCTGAATGATTCCTCGCCCAGGACTTCATTGTGACTGTTTTGGTCCGTATCTTGTCCTGAGAGGTCGAGTGGGTCGGCTGGCATGTAAAAATATTATTGTGATTACTTACTTATTTTCTAAAATTCGTATAATTTTTCTATACAATGTCATTCTTTTTACCTGAAATATGACTGTCGTGACTTCTTGGCAGGTCGATTTGCACTTCGTCCATATTTTCAATAACTGGAAATAAATAAATAAAATCCGCTTTGCAAAAATATTTATAAAATTGTACCAAATATTTATTTACTCACAATCAAGTTCTGGAACTATTCAAGCGCTACGTGTTTCGAGGTCATCTTGCATTAATTCGTCTTCGCCGTGATTGTAACATATTTCCGATGCTATAATATTTAGTCTAAGTATAAGTATCGTGATAACTTAATTATTTTCTAAATATGGCGTTCATGGTTTCAAGAAGGTGATAACTTATCATTACAGATGTGGGCATCGTTTAACGTACCTCGACTAGGAGATTCGGCCTCATTTTGCACCAATTCAGCCCCCCGTTGTGTCCTCCTGTTGCATGATTTTAATTAATCTTTATTAAACGAATAACGAATGATCAACATATTTAAATATGAACACAATTAAAGATACAGAATGGATTTAGCGCGTTAAAACTAATGAGGTTTTCTATTTGTTATAAAATTAACTTACCATCAACCTGTGAAATTGGTCGGGGCGTACGTCGACCTTGCCCGGGGGGAGATTCGACCTCATTTTGTCGCGATTCGTCCACCTCGTCCTCTATTAGGTAGGTCTCCGGTCCTGCGTAATTGCATTAAATATTAATTCTATAATTAAGTTATTGTCAGCACAATTAACTAAATTACTCTTCATAATCAAAACCAAACTATCCTCACCTTCATCACCAAACGACTCATTACACGTCGTCAACAAGGCCGTCGTCATTGTGGCGAATTTCTTTTGAAAGCTTCGAAAACGGTGGTCACATCTTTTATCGTGATTTTGACCCGATGTTTGCAACCTCTCCATATTCGCCATCAATTCCTTCATCGCCTCCAAGTCTTTCGCCAGGCTGGTCGTAATCTTCATCCCTCCGACACCCTGCTTTTCAGATAAGTCGCAAAATTTCTTCTCCAGCTGCACCACCTTCCCGTCCAAGGTGCTTAAATGGGTCGTCAGCAAATACAGCAAAGTTTCGACAAGTGTTATCCGGTCGTGGAAAGCGGTTTCGAATCGTTTAGCAAATTCTACTTCGAACAAGGCCGGCAATTTTTCCTGAAGGACTTCCTCCGCCGTTTGTTTGAATCCGAGGATGACGTGGTCCATCTTTAACTTGGGATTTTGTTATATTAACCTAATGCACATACTACCAATTAAGTAAATGTTGAATTAATTATTAATTACCTTTAACTGATCCAGCCAGGGTTGGAAAATAAATATTTACAAATTTTACGTGCGGATATTTTAGCAGATGGTTTTGCAAAACTCAGACTTCGCGGAGTACGGGGTGAAAGATGAGAGTTGAGATTTTAATGATCAATAAAATTAACATTCAACATTACAGTAATTAATATTACTATTTGTAATTTACTGTTTTTCTACACGTACATATTTATATTTCCTTATTTATTAGCTAAATGGTAAGAAGTTCTTACTAAGAACAATTTCTGGTACAAATTCATAACTAAAAAAATATTTAACTTATAGTCACAGCAAAAACGGCTGAACATAAAACTTCCACTAATTATTATTCTTCTCAAGGCGGACCGCTTATTTTGGTGGGTTCATCGTGTAACAAATCCAGAACGGTAACTCTTTCCGAGGGTCGACATCCCGCACCCTTTTTCGAGTCCTGTCGCAGCACTGCAAAAAAGCCGCATCTTTAATACCACATCCAGTGAAGAGGAAAACAAGTGCGGCATTGGTGAAGACGACTGTCGTAAAATTCGGCATTGGACGAGGCAGGCGAAGTCTATAGGTCTGGAAAGGATACAAAAATAATGTCAAATTTAAACAATTATGTCACCTTTTAACTAACGAAAAATTTAAATTTGTGTACCTCCAACCCTGTCAGAATTACATCAGACCGATCACATTGCGTTCCATAGTTAACGTCCAGCTTCCCAATCGAGGCAGAAACCGCGTCCAACATATTATTCAAAGAGGGCAGGTTGAATTGTCTCCTTCCCTGGAGAAATGTGTACTTCAAGACTTTCAATTTTCCACAGTTTGACAAATCTGGGTAAATATCGCCGTCAATTCGTAACTCTTCTAAATTTAGGGCTCCAGCATTAATCAAAGATTGGCAGATGGATGTCAATAATTCATGATTTTCGTCACAATTGATCAAAATCAAGTCAAGTTTGATAAGCTTGGAACGTCCCGTAAAATTCTGACAGTCCTGCGATAACCTTTGATAACCCCCCGGCATAAATCTGATTCGGATAGAGGTAAGGTTTGGAAAGTGGGAATTTGCCAAGGCTTTAAGGATTGGAACGCCACACCATTTTCCAACGTAGAGATGTAAATCTTTCGTAAATTGATCCATCCTGGGGAGCAGGGTGTCGCAATTCGTGGCGAAAGTGGATTCCCAAATAGCTTTGCACATGGCGACGTCCAAATGTGAGATGACGACACGGCGGAAAAATTTGTCCGGGAGGGATACCACGTCGGATAAGGGGACGTCGCAAAAGTCCAAGATAAGCCAGCCCTTCTTCGCCAAAATGGATGAACCCACGTCGCCCCATTTGGTGCAGACGAGCCTGGCAGAATGTAAGTCGGGGACGGAAAGTTTTTTAAAGATGGCGTCCAGCACCTGGGTTAATTAAAATTAGCAAGGTAAAGAAGAGGAGTTAAAGTATGATTGAAAATATTAAAAAAATAACAAATAATTTTTACGGATGGGCACATCAAAGCTTTAAAGGTTGTAGAAATCTTCAAGTCTGTGTCATCATCCGGCGTTCCAGTAACTACGGAGGTACCACCGGGGATTAATTATTAGTTTTAGTAATTTTTTATAACAATTTGGAGATTAGGGATGACAAATTAGGTAATCTAAATATGAGCGACAAAATGAACACAAACTTACCTAATTTGGATAAGGCCATTTTAAATTCGATCAACTAATTAATTAATCAGGTTGAATCAAAGTTTCACCTGGTTTACCAAAGTTTTATGGTTGGAGCGCATCAGAGTGAAAAAAATGAGACACGTCTTCTGGCGGCAGGAATAAATATGTAGGTAGCAAGTAAACAAATAAATACGTCATCTATTTAGTTCCGTATTTAGATAATATAAACGATTTAAAAAATATTTAGAGAGTTAATCATAAATTCAAATTAATTTAAATATTCGACCTCCCTGTACTTAACGTGATCATGTTAACCGAGGAGGAAACGCAGGTAAGTTAATTTGTAGCTTTCTTTCCCATGTATTTAACAATTACATGATTGTTTACATTTATTTTTAAAGGGACACAACCAGACAGCCGCTCCCTACTCCGGACGTGTTCTTATTCCTGACGTATGGTCAATTAATTAATTATGTCAAAATTAAGCTTTATTTCAATAAGTATATCCCTGTCAGTAAACAAGATCAGTTGTTGTAAATAATTTTTAAAATTATTTACGTTTTGCTCCCTTAACTTTGATATTATTACTTTGCAACACAGGTTATTCGTCCCCTCTGCCAATTTCTGTCCGTCAAAGACATCAAGGAGTGCCGATTGGTCTCCAAATCCTGGAATTATGCTGCCACCCCTGTCCTAGAAGCCAGGACAGGAACCATGATCGACCTGTATCGTCAACATTATCCGGAAAATTACCCACGAAATGACAATGTCGAAGAAAAAGTGAATTTCCGCCCAGCAAAAATTTGTATATTGATTGGACCTCATCTTGACGACGCTCTGCCACCCATGGATCGCAAAATCTTTTCTAGCCTAACAAACCTAAAAGAAATTTACGTAAATTTTATCACTCAACCCCACTCACCATGGCAGATGGACTTGTGCGACAAAATTATCCTCACATCGTCCCCCACCCTGGTACATTTAAGATTTATTTATGAACGCGACCTTCATTTCCCTTCCCTTGGTGGCACCGTTTTCCCAAAATTGAAAGAACTAGCGACTTATCATAGATGCCTGGGGGAGCCAACTTCTGATAAGGCTGTGGAAGAAATTGGTCACGCTATTACTACGGGATCGTTCCCAGGGTTGGAGTATCTCGAAATTGACGCTAGCTACTTGTGTGAAATGTCAAGGATGGAAATGTTGCAAAAGTTTCCGAAGTAAGTTAGTGTAGAGGAGTTAATTAATTAATTATGTGTGGTAATTAATTAATAATTCTTAATTAATTTGCAGATCGCTGAATTCCTTAAGATTGTACGGAGACTTGACAACCACTCGGATAGAATCTCTACTAAAAATTCCACATCCTTTAAAGAAACTTGAATTTTATATGGTTTTCCTCCTTCCAAACGACGATCGGGAAGACGAGCTGCCCACGGCGTTGTATAACTTACTCAAGAAACATGCCCCTACGTTGGAAAATCTTTATGTCGACTTGTGGATTCTGAGGGGTCAATATGTCTGGAAATTCCCGGCGTTTCCGGTCATGAAGAGTTTTGAAATCTATCACACCGCAAAACTGGGAAAATTTGAGTTTGAAAGTAGCCCCGGCAACTTTGAACGGATTGGAGGGAGCGTGTGTTTTCCCGTTTTGGAAGATTTGTGTGTTTTCACGGAATCAAGCAATGTTTCCGATCTGGATGAATTTCTTCCGAACGGATGTCAGGTGGTGGACTGGGTGAGGAAAGTTGTGTGTCTTGTCCACACTTGGGACCACCCGGAAACAAGGAGTCGAAAATTAACTCGGGATAAAATTGAGACACGACTGATGGAGATTTTTCCCAATGCAATGCGAGAGATTCGGTTAGTTAATATTTAATTTTAGGAAGGTGACCAATGGTCACTAACCATTCATTTAATGGAATTTTTAATGTATTTGCTTATATTTTCAGATAAGACCTGCAATAAGTGAAGAAGTCTACACATCCTATAGTTTGTTACCAGACTGTAAAATAAATTCGCTAAGGACGGCACTATAAAGCCATCGAAAGGCGTGGCTTCATGATGATTAGTTCATTCACTTGCCGCGCTTTGTGATAATTTGCTTCTCAAGTCGCCCCATGAATTTTCGAGCCAATCATAATCAAGCCACGCCTTTCGATGGTTTTATAGTGCCGTCCTTAGCGAATTTGTTTTACAGTCTGTTTGTTACATTAATATTAATTATTATTTTCGAAAATATGTAATATAGACATTATGTAGAAAATCTGCGGTATACAAATTATTTAAATATACGAGTATAATTATTTCCTAAATAAATGACTATGTCAACCCTACCATTAATTATAACTTAGTTAGATTTATGTAAAATAGCAAGGCATTGTAGTCGAATACGGGCATACTCTACTCTGGATACAAAATAAGTAATTTAATAATTTTTTGGGTTTAAAATCTTACTGCATTTTTTTTCTTAAAAGATTCGGCGTTAATTAATTTACACAAAATGACAACGTATTTTAAAACGAGGTATTTCAAAGACATATACATTCAAAATAAATTGGACATAATGAAAATTGCAATGTAAGTTTTTTGAGATGTAAAATATGTTTCTAATACATATTTTATGTATAGATCCACCGTGTTGAGATCATGAAACCATGGTAGTGTTTACAATTTCAGAAAATCATCTTAAAATCATTCAGCATAGAAATCGCCCCATACCTGGCATAACACAAAAATTTCATGCGTGAACCTGCGTACCAAAATTTGTTTTAAATACATACTTACATTAGATACGTAAAATGTCAAATTTCAACAAAACAAAATTATGTTGCAAACTTGACGGTGTTAGAAAAGGTCGTATTGAACATTTATAATTTAATAGCTAATACATTACAATGTAGATATTATGGTATGTGTAAAATTAATAGGCCGTTTTTTTGACTTTTTGGAATTACTGAAATCGCTGATACGTAATTCTTAATGCAAATTTTTAAAATATGGAAATATACATTTTTCTAGATCGTCCAAGATTTCCAAAACCGTTTCAATTTTTGAAATCCCTCACAAACTGACCGATCAGTGCTAATTTGAAATTTTTGTTCTTAAGAAAAAAACGGCCTATTAATTTTACACAGACTATAGGGAAACCGATGCACAGTTTTCCCGAAGCTGAAACAACTCAGGACTTGGACACTGTAACACCGATATTTTTACTTTGCTGCAAAAGTAGAATATTGTTGTGCGTTATAGACATGATAATAAATATTTAGGTGTATGTACATATATGGTATCCCGGTTATATAAATAAATCCATTGGACTATTAGAATCCGTGTCAACTGTGCCTCTTTGAGGAGCACGCGATGAATAACATTTTTATTAAGCGATTTTGTCAACAGAATAATATCTAGGAAACACGGAACCCACTTCGAAGGTTAAATTTGCCTCTATGAATAGAGGAAGTTCCGAGCTGCTCGGCCTAGGATTGGTGTCGACAAATTTGAGGGAATTCTTGATTTGTAGAACGAAGTTCACCCTCTCGTCCACTGAAATTTATCATGTTTCATGTCATTTCTTTTGGCCATAGTTTAATTTAGCGACGATATCCTGGCGGCGAGAAGCAATCCGCATTTCTTTTCCCAAAGGTAAGTTAAGTTTCTTAAATTTCTCATGGCGTAGCGGTTTCTTTTCTTCTAAGCAACTAAACTTGAAATTGTTGTTACTTCCTTTTCTGAAAAGATAACCGTCTGATTCCCCCGTCCATTTTCTGCATGCCAAGTTTCTCCTGCCATTTACGGAAATTACTTTCTCCACTTACTCTTCTGTCGCAGATGGAGTGAAACAATTTTCGTTCTGAAAAACAGTATGCATAATATTTTCACGTGCTGACAAGCGACGATTGTGATGGCACTTCCGATGGTTTCCTACTCAAAACCTACATATGAGTCAAAAGTTAGTTCGTAGAATGTTTTATAGGGTTCATGTGTTTCTATTTGTGTCTTTACATTCACAGCTTACCCTTAGTCACAAATTGTCTAACCTCATATGGTTCCCAATTTCATAAAATTTTCAGAATTACGACCTACATAATCTGTCTCAACTTTTAATATATGTCCTTGTGGCATTAATTTCTTTAATTTTGTCTATTGATTGATTGATTTTATTATTCGACACCCTTTCAGGCCTTCGGCCTATATAGTACAGCATTATCATAAATTTAACATAATTAGTAACAGTGACAATTGGAGTTCAGTTCCATAATATACATCAAATGGTGACAAAATACATACATAACTGTGACATTATATTGGTACAATTACATAAATAACTGTGACATTGGTACAATTACATAAAATAATTATAAAATAATTATTTTTAAAATAATAATTACATAATTTTGTCTATATGTGCGTAAACTCGTAAAAATATGCTTGGAACTGGTGAGGTCGGTCTACCCAAAGTTTTTCTGAGAGGGATTGAGAATTGCGATATTCAAATTCTACATGAAGGGCTTTCCTCAAAATACTTTACCTTCCTACATGGCATCAGTCTCCCAAGGATAATATTAATACTGACTAGTCCTCCATTCAAGCCAATTTCCACGTACGAAAAAGTTGCACTCGACGTCTTTAAAAGTCGCCCTGGACTTGACCTCTTAAGTATATGGATTTCGAAACTACTTCTTAATAGCGGCAAGGAATTGAGATCTGGCAGTCCTCAAAGATTACCAGACTTTACAAGCTGGTTACATTTCTATGCAAAATATCAGTACGGTTTTCGATGTAGGAAATGCAATCCTAATGCGTTTAAAACGTCCTCCTGGAATTTTTTACATTCAACCAAGAATCTATATCCGATCGTGGTCACAAACTTTGAGTTGGCAGAGGCCTTACAATTATTAAGGCTTGGGGAAATGCATACTGAAAATTTAATGATTTGGAAACTTGTACCAAGTGGATTTGCTCGAGTGTGTTCAATGCGGATCGGATGGCCCATCTCGAAAAGGGGAAGTTACGACTGTGTTAATATAAAAAAAGATAATATGTTAAAATATTCCTGGAAATTATTATAGTCCCCGCCACAAATCTGGGCAGGGTCGTACTATCCGTACGATCAAAGTGAAGCAGACCATATGCACAAAAACGAAAATCTGCCAAACCCCTCAATCAATCCGTTCAGTCGTAGTCTACATATCCATCCCACTCTACATGGCAGTAGTCATAGTGACAGGGTCAAACGCTTCGTTAAAGTTGGACAAGAGACGTAACCCCTATCCTACGATTTATATTGACCGAAGAGGACTTGACCCAGCATTTCAGAATGAATTTACATATATCAGTGGCCTGCAGTTTCTCAGCTGTTACTCCGAGTCGTATATAACGTTTGACTTTTACCTGATGCCATTCAAGCCAACGTTGTGGCTCGGCTTTATCACGAGCATGCTGCTAACGTTTATCGTGCTTTACGTCTACACTACTTGGAAGCATAAGCGGTCACCTTATTCCATTTGGCTATCATTAATTTCATTATTCTTCGAGGATTTCACATCTGTTCCGAAAGCTATTGGGAATGGGTTGTTTTATCGTTTAATATTCGTCACATGGGCACCTGTCGCGGTCCTTTTCACAAATTGTTACAGCGGGCTAATGATTACGGAACTGAACGCACCACTCAAAGAGACTCGATCTCAGAATTTTGACGATCTAGTTTGCCAAGGTGGTTACATTTTGGGAACAATGGTCATGCCGAGGGACGTCGTCAGATGGGTGGAGGGCACTCCTTTCGAAAATTACAATACGTACTGGGAAATTAGTTCTTATGGTAGTCCAAAGAAAAAATATAAAAATAGTTTTGCATCCAATAACTGTTATAGGATGCTGTCCTCTCCGATTCAAGTGTCTGGATATGGTCCATCATACCTCTGGCACAATATGCTCTTGAGGGAGGTAAAATATTTCTTCAGTAAGGGACTACTACCATTTAATAGGACACGTCCGATATCATTCCACCTAAGTAAGGAAGAACTCCTCTCCTTACTATTTCTAAATCCGGTGTACCATTTATTCCCAAAAGGTATGGATTCAGAAAAATTAAACTATTCGACAACCGAACTGCAAACCCTGGTGGTGCGAGATATTATAGATTGTGGCGAAAAAAATGTGTTTATAGCAAACTTGGAAACTCTTCGGGGCGAGATGGCCTTCCTGACGAAGAATTATCCATCAAAACAATTCACCTCTGGCAAGAGGTCCATCGGTTTGTTCTTGAATGGATGGTGGTTTCAAGGAGGGGGACGAAGTTCAGGGTCAAGCAGCTTATCTACTGTTCAGCGGAATTTTCAGTCTTTGGTTCATTCTGGAATTTATTCGCGACTAAAGATAGAAATGGACAATAATATGTGGCTTCATAGAAAACCAGTTGAAAAAGCCAGGGAGTTTCCCACCGTTGCTTCGCTCACCATGCAAGGAGGTATTATAACAATTTTTATGATCTCGGGTGTTCTGCTATTTCTAGCGTTAGCTTCCTTTTTCATTGAGAGATATAAGTACAAATGGCATGCTGGAGTGAATTGGTTTCGTTTACGTTTTCTAAACTCATTTGATGCAAAGTTTAGAAGTCTTAAGTTTGGTAAGGTAAGAACGGTAACCGTAATACCATCAAAGATATTGGAGATTATGGACAATCTTTAATTATGTACATAATCTATACAAAAATATTATCAGATATACATACATATATGTATACATACATATAATAAATCAAGTGTTAAGATTATGAAAATATATTTAGTAATGTTTAAAACTTCACTTTATCCTGAAATTATCTGTTAATCATTATTAAAATGACATAAATCTGAGGTCTGTTATGGTTATATATGTGAAGTTCAAGAAAATGTTCACATTTTGAAAATTTCTGCTTGTATGTATGTATTATATCAACACTCTCTTTTGAATACGTACATGCCATTTCGTCTTTATTCAATTGAGTAAAGTAATGTGTTCGCAGAGCTTTAGTAATTTTACCATCCGTTATCTTAAAAAAAACCCTGACCACAAAGGAGTCGCACATTTCATATCCCTAACCTTAAAAAAATGAAAAATCCTAACCTAAAATCATGATAAAAAAACTAAATTTAGAAGTAGTAGATCTCATCAAGCGTTTGGCCGACTGGCAAACTTCCTAAAATAGAGGCGACGTTTCCTCTTTGTACGGCGATACTCATTCTTTGAATGAGGAATGATGTTGCCCGCTTCTCCCCCATTAGGGTAGTGATCCTTGACCCTATTTCTTTGATGAAAGACAGCCCCTCCTTGCCCCATACTCCTGTCGTTTCAATGGCTACGGGGACAAAGAGGAATCTGTCCTTTAAGAATTCGTATCTTTTGTGTT